GTTGTTATCGCCGTATCCCCGCGGGCATCCGTCACAAAGCTTGCAGCAGTTACGCGGTTTGGGATGCGTCGCAACAGTTGTATGGTGGGGGGTGGCTCCATGCGAAAATCGGGTACGTTGAGATTGCTTCTTGTCCTTTTGCGCGTGACGCTCGTTGTCCGATCCAAACCCATCTCCCTCCCTCTCCCTCTCCCCGGGTAGCGGCAGCGATCCCACGTAGGGATGGTCCTGGACCCCCGCCCCGCATGCTGGCGCTCGCGCGCATACTATCGCGATCGCAGCGCACCCCCGCCCCGACATGCCCCACGCCGCCTAAGCGTTACCGTTGCCCGCCCCCAATGGAAAGACCGGGGCAGCGTTGACTCGAAGTAAAAATATCCACCCCATCCTGCTCTGCGCTACTCGTCTCCGCTCTGCTCTGTTTTGCTTTGCCCTGTGCCACCTCGCTCCACCCTGCTCTCCATCGCCATTTTGGCTCGGGCTGGTCTTCGCTTGTCTCTTTCGGTCTTGGCCCCGCGGGTGCAGAGTGGAAGCGGCCTGGCCGCCGTCGGCTGCCGAGGCGCCCTCGCGGCTGCCAAGCTGCCCCACTGGGGCGGCGAGCGAGGGGCGCGGCTCCCTGCGGCCCGCGCGGCGGGCCCGCCGGGGCGAGGCGCGCCAGGCTGCGCGCGGGCGACTGCGGGCCGCCCTTGGGCAGGTGGTGTGCCTGGAGGCTGGAGTTCGCGCTCGCCAGGCCATGGCGAGCGCGTTCGTGGCCGCAGTTTTTGAGCGTGACGGTGATGCGTTCGTGATCGCCTTCAACGGCCTTAGTACTCTGTGGCAGAACGAGAGTCGAAATCGAACCCGACCTCGCAGGAGGGCGTTTCGATGTTTTATTCATGCGCGAAATTCTCCCGATAGCTCGGGGTGCCCATCCGAGTGATTCAGGGGGCGCCCCGACGCCCTTGTTGTGCTGACGGTGCAGCTGGGCGTCGACGACGGGTCCCTTGGCCGGGCGCCTAGCGAGGTGCTCCTCGAGGAGCTGGCCGTGCCTGTGCCCGTGCTGGAGGGCGTCCCCGCGGCCGCGCAGGGCCCGCTCGGCTCCGAGGGGCCCGCGTCGCAGCCGCAGGCGCCGTCGACCAGCAGCGCCGGGTCGGGCGAGGGCCGGCGCCGGTGACGGCCGGGTGGTGCGGGGCCCCATCAGAGCTGGCCCCCTGGCGGCTGCAGGTGATGAGGCCGCTCGATGGCGCTCGCGGCGCCGCGAGGGCTTCGAGCGCTGCAACGGCGCGTGGTGGCGAGCCAGTCCGCTGTCGCCGACGATCATGACGGGTGGAGGCCTGGCTGGCAAGTTGCGGGCGCTTGGGGTGTCTCGCCAGCCCCGCCCGCGGCGGGCGAGCGGCGAGCTGGGCGCGCCTGGCTCGCCGACGCCAGTGGGCCCCGCAGGCTCGCGGTGCTCGGGTGCCACGTGTGTGACGCCACCGTCGTCGACCTCCAAGCGGAGGTAGATCCGCCGAGAGGCGCGAGCTTAAGGCGACCCTCGAGAAGCCCCGCTCTCCGAGGTGATGGCAGTCTGTACCTTGCGGTGCACGTGGTGATGGCAGCGGAGGGGAGACATG